CTTATATGCCCTGTTCACAGACTTGTATTATTTGAAGTTTTTATGAGATCGATCACTGTTTATTATCTTCACCCCTTTTTCATTTTTCAATTATCAAATAACGGCTTTTCTTTCTTAGCCTTCGCTTGTTTGTGTTGTCAACATTGCTCTAAAGAGTCCTTATTCATAAAGCATGATAAAATAAAAGGATGTTCAACAAAGTTCTAGGATTGAATTTGGGCGATATTACACCCAAAACTTTGAAACATTATATAACAACTTTGCCTTCACATAAATTTTAGCATTAAAAGTGAAAGTAATGGATTTTTAGATAAGGTCTTCAAAATTCTTGTCAGGAGAAAAAACCCTGACTGATATAAATTAATAAATAATTATCTCTTGGAAGTAAAAATTGATAAACCAATCAGCCAGTCTTTTAGTCAATCACTCTTTCAGCTAACAGATTTACCACAAACAGTAAGAATGAATTAAAATACACACATATATACACAAATAGGATTATCTATTTTTGAAAGACCGAAATATTAAATATACTATTATATCTCGAATTTAAAAATTAAATTAAAAAATATTGAAATTTTAAATATTTTACGATTATCTTTCTTATTGGAATAATTGTTGTTCATTTCTACTAGAGAATACGAAGACCGCACCCACAACAATGCTGCATGCTTCAGCACAAAGTGAATATTACAACACCCACAAGACCGCACCCACAACAATGCTGCATGCTTCAGCACAAGGTGAATATTACAACACCCACAAGACCGCACCCACAACAATGCTGCATGCTTCAGCACAAGGTGAATATTACAACACCCACAAGACCGCACCCACAACAATGCTGCATGCTTCAGCACAAGGTGAATATTACAACACCCACAAGACCGCACCCACAACAATGCTGCATGCTTCAGCACAAGGTGAATATTACAACACCCACAAGACCGCACCCACAACAATGCTGCATGCTTCAGCACAAGGTGAATATTACAACACCCACAAGACCGCACCCACAACAATGCTGCATGCTTCAGCACAAGGTGAATATTACAACACCCACAAGACCGCACCCACAACAATGCTGCATCCCTCAGTGCAAGGTGAATATTACTACAGGATTCTTTATTTGCATTCTTATTCCTGTCCTTTAATGATAAAAAAAATGGACGTTTTACCTCCAGATATTCACTGTTCTGATTGCATTTCCTTATTATAAGTAGGTCTACCGCGACTCCATTTTCCAATGCAATGGTAGGATTTTCAACAATGAATATATTTTTCTCTTTGTTTTGAAATATGCTTTTTGAAAATTAACAGTCAAAAAGTTGCAAGTTTACCTTCCCAGATATGATAAAGTGTAAAATAATGTTTTGTCTTGTCCGTGTCTGTTTGTCGTTTGTCTGATTATCCTTAAAATAGTTAAGAACTAATTTGGATGCAACTTTAGCAAAGAGTCTATCTTTAATGAAGTATAATCAATAAGGTGTGGACTCGGCTTTAAATTCTCTCTTTTTCTCTCTCTGTTGTCTTTGGTCTTGCGCTAGTGAAGATTCAGTGAGTATTAAGATTCAGTGAGGTTTCAAAAAGCATTAAAAAAAATACGGATAGATTTATATCACTCTGTCACTTAGGATTGGCAACACTGTTATATGAAAAAGACATGTATAATTTGTTTGCAAGAAGGTTTTCCAAAACGCCTTGGACACATATAATATTATACAATTATTCCTGTTTTTTGAGGTCAATACGATGATTTAGACACCTAAGGAGTACAATATTCACCGAGCCCTTCGGGCTTAGGGCTCAAAAAACAGCAATAACTGTTTTATTATATATGATTATCTATTTTTGGTCTGGAAATAATTCCTTATATTGACCTGGAATGTCACGTGCAGGTCAATATAACGTAGTATTTTTCTAACATTGTTGGATCTCAGCCAATCAGAAAAGTGGGAATTATTCAATCATATAATAATTTCGTTTATATAAAGAAACACGCATGCGAGTGCAATAATATTTTTATGTACATCATGATATATATATGTCATATAACTCGTGTATATATATATATCAGCAAAAATGCTTTGTATATTCAAAACACAGAACCCAAAATAACGTTAAGCCAGATTCATAGTTTTATACTTAACGTACGGAATTTCGTATTTTCTTCACTTTCACTTCTTGTAGCTTCTCCCAAATTGAACACACCGTCTGAAAACTGATTATAATGAACTTGAAATATTCTGCGATTATTCGAGTTTGGGCAGATTTTCTTTTTTTCATTTTCTCCTTGTAGCTGTTCCTATTGGAAATAAATATTCTCTCCTGTTAGAGAATGAAAATAAATAATCGGATTCGACAAAATCCCCCCCCCCCCCCTCGAGAATCAAATGGTCGTCCCTTGGTATGCACGTAAATAGAGGAGCCCAGTTTGAGTTTGTAGAGAGTACGCGAACGGAATTGTGGGAAGGTCACCAGACTTAGTTTGTGCTGGGCATCTGAAACATCTCGCTCGTTTTGAATACTTAACAGACTTAAACTTGACCAATAAAATCCTTCATAAAATAAATAAACAATTCTCGGATATAATACAAATGAAAAATTATCGCATACAAATATAAGAAATTGTACAATACAAATAAGAAATTTTACAATGCAAATGAAAAATATAGAATACAAATTAAAAAAAACTATGCAATACAAATGATATTTTTTACAATACAAATGGAAAATATAGAATACAAATAAATGTTATACAATCCAAATGGAAAATTATAGAATCCAAATGGAAAATTATAGAATCCAAATAAAAAATATACAATACAAATGGAAAATTATACAATACAAATGAAGAATTATACAATACAAATGAAAAATTATACAATACAAATAAAATTTATTCAATACAAATGGAAAGTTATACAATACAAATGGAAAAAATCGAATATTGCAACGTTTGACATGCACTAAATAACGCCATTGTCCACGAAGTTTTTTGGAAAGCCCTCGTATTCTTAACAAAAATGTTTGCATGGAGTGTACCTTGATAGAGTTTTGCACTGACTTCCCTCAAGTTTCAGAACAGTTATTTGATAATGAATTTTTAATTTTTAATACGATACTGTATCGACGCCCGGTAACAATACGAAATTGTGTTTGAAAACTTTAAATTCAATTGAAAAGCGACAGCTAAACTTTTTCATAAGTCGTCTTAATTTTATTCAAATTGTGTTTTTCAATTATATTATTCATAACTAAATGAATGACTTCCAAAATTAGTCTCAACATAGCTGTGTGATTATGTTTCATTCGGACTTCTCACTTAGATATTGAAATTTTCAATTTGTATGTAATTTATAGGAAATTAATCACACAAAAATTCTTAATTTCTGGAAATTGAGTTAAGTAACAAGATCATTTTCTTGATATTCACAGAAGTCATGTGTCCCTGTTCATGTGATTACATGGACAAAATCGAGTACTGGAACAATGAAACAAACCAGCTGAGACAGTACTATGAACTGAGTCAAAGGCTGGCTCAACTCAAACGCCTCCTCAGCGTGAACACAAAAAAACTCTCCTCAACCGTAAACAAGAAGATCAGCGCTGACGATGAGCGATCATCAGCCTCTGTAACAGGTTACGTGGGAGCTGCCTTCATAGCCCTAGTTCTTGGTGGAATAGTCCTGGCTGATGTTCCTGTGTTGATTCGACAGACTTGTAGACTCCTGAAAGACATCCGAAAACTGTGTGTTCGAAATTGAATTAATTGCTGCCGTTTTTTTTTTTTTTTTTTTTTTTTCATCAGTTTAACATTAAACTGAAAAGTTTAAGCAAACATTTCTAAAACTTTTATTGATTACATAAAGACAGCTTTCAATGTCTCAATGTCCTATCGCTTCCTGACAATTACAACATTTATTTCAGTAAAATTTTCGTAGAAAGCCTCAGTTGATATGGTACTCGAAAGCATGATTAAACATGTGTTAACAACTTTGAAAATTTGGTGAAATTTTCATGATTTTCTTTTCAGAATTTGAGAAGAAATCAGAAGGATGTGTTCTTTAAAATGAATAGACACTGTATAAATATCAAGTGTGTTGCATAATTAAATAGCTGGTTTCATGAATGTGTCCCTTAAGTGTAGTGTAGAAGACTCTGAGCCAAGTTCATGATTGTCATATACTTTTTTTTTCTGTGATTTATTTGTACATTTGTGCCGCGCATGGTCAAATTAAATAGGTTTCTTTGACCACACTGTCTTGTTTATTTCTCTTACTTCCAATAAGGTCAATAGCAAATTTCATTATGTACATATATTGCAAACAGCTAGAGGCTAACAAACCTTAAAAATACAGAATGCCTACCGACAACTTGTCCATTTAAACGTATTTATAAATCTATGGTCTAGTAGTTTAAGGTGATACTGGTATACATGTACTAAGAATAAAACAACCATGCACTCTGCTCACTCTAGCAGCCAGTAAAGAAATTCAACCTGGTTTGAAACTAAGGGTCTTAAGAGGGCTGGGTGGTCGTGGCCATTTTTAGACTAAATTGATCTCCCTTAGAAGAAGAGCTCCATATAAAGATATAAAAAAAATGATCAAATTTTAAAACTAAAATGTATGGATTTTTTCTTTGCCAAATGATAGTTGACAGCTTAAGATATCATATCTAAAAAAAATAAGTTATATCTGATGGTTAATTTGTTGACCCCCCAGCCTCCTTAATCTGTTAGGTTATTTTTTCAAGGTGCATGCAGCCACCTCAAAGGTTTTTACGATTTTGTGATAAGGAAATTATTGAATATGCTTTTTATGGCATCAACTGATAGAGAGAATTTTTTTTTGGGGGGGGGGGGGGGAATTTCAAGTAGCTTGATAACCGCTTTTCGGTACTTTCAGTATTTTAATTTCAGTCATGATTGACGAACGGGTTATCTAAAATTTTCATACCGGAAGTTTAAGTGGTAAGTGATAGACTAAAAGAGTGATATTCTTTGAAGTTATGAAATGTCATCCACTCCATTAGGGAAGAAAAGAGTTTTATGTTCATCAAAATATGAACATAAACTAAAGAAAACGAGACACACCTCCAAATCCTCATGCACAACTTGTTCTAAAAATGGTAAACAAAACATTCACAAAACATGTGTATCAAGTTGGACATTGGATAAAGCTGAAGCTAATGGTTTGTTTTACGAAAAAGAAACATCTGAATTTTCAGATTTCTATGAAATGTTTAGTTCATGCAAAGGAAAAAATAGGTATGGATTTATCCACCCATTGGAAGGTGAAGAGAAGACATTGGTAGATTCTTTAGTGGCGCAGACCAGTGAAATGATAGATAAACACGGCGTGGAAATGACAACAGGTTGGGACTGGACAGTTGCTGCAGACTGGCCTTTTGTGTGGAGGAAATGCTGTGATGCTGTAAAGATTCTGAATGAGACATGCAGACCAATGGTTTCTAAAGGGTGGGTTTGTACATGTAAATATGATAAAACTTAATAGACGACTTTCACATTTACAGAAGTTTTTTTCTCTGGGGTCAACTGGTGTAAGAGAGTGTTTCCCTCTATAACTTTATGAGACAATGTCTTACAAATGAAATTCACAACAAGTAAGTTTATTGGCTTGTAGAGCAGGCTAGGAGGTGGATGAAATATACAGGTTGGTTATAGAATATGTTTTAGAATTATGAAATGAAAGGTTGTCAATTGACCAATGCTGGAAAGTGGCGAAATACATCCCCAAAGTGTGCAGAAAATCCTGCGCCATAAATTGTACTTTATTTACAGTCAGGGGTGAGACTGAAATCCATCATATTTAAAAATGATTGATAATTGTCATTTCTACTAACTACATAATGTACATGTTTTTATTATTTTTGTAAATATGACTTGTTTTCATCATATTTCCATTCCCTAGTTAATTCTTCCAACCCATTTACTAAAGTAATAAGATATAGTACACTATCCTGCCATGGACCCATGTGTAGAGAAACACCTTGACAAACAACTGCAACCAAAATAAATTAGTGCGCCCTGTAAAACTAACGAGATAATTAAGTGCGCCCAGACCAAACAATTTGATAAAAATAATTAAATGATGAAATACAGTCATATTTATTATTAAAAGTAACTCTATATTTTAAAATAAACTCCAAATAGTTATGACTGTTTTTCATCATTATTTTAAAAAATGATGAATTTTGGTCATTTATTTATTAAAAATCAATTTTATGACTAGAAATCATCATTTTTAAAAATGATGAATTTCAGTATCACCCCTTGCTGATTTACATTACAGGATTTGTAGTCAATATGGTCAAAGACTAAAATATAAAACCATAATGCTACAGTTCTGCAGCTAGGTCAAATGTTGATAGTTGATGAATGAGTAAAATTTATCAAAGTTTCAATCAACTCGTCAACTTTCTCATTCTTGTTAAAAGCAGTGTTAAATACTAGTAGACTGTTAAAGACTGAACTTGCCATATTTCTAAAACGCTGAAATTGTCAACTTTCAACCCTTCAATTTAATGTTTACAGTATTCATGCTATTTTGAGACCAAGCGGTGTTTGAAATAACAGTAGCCCGACCACCGGAGGTGCACAAATTTTGCTGTGGACAAACAAAAATGCATGTATCGATGCCCCAGCTGGATGTGTTAAATTTCCAAATAATTAAGAGCCATTCTCTGTAATGACTTGAACTTTTATATAGTAGCTGTGGCACGCATAGTCTCAGAATTTCTCCAAACTCTCTATCATAAAAGTCTTTGATACCGTAAACTCAAATCAGGCAAAAATTGGTTGCTACGTTTCATGGTTACCATAGCAACATGTCCTGAAGTTTGAAAAATGGCATTTTTCAACATCTTCAGAGTCCCACAGTTAACGTTTGCAGCAAAGCAAACAAGTGGCAATGACTGTTTTTGAAAGTTGAAGGCCTGGTGTCTTAAATGCATGATAAACATGTTTGGTAAATCATCTATAACATACGTTACTATGGAAACAAAGTATTCAAAAGTAATAATTTTGTTCATTTAATTTTATGAAGTCATACACTTAAGAATAAAAACAATTATAGGTTGAAATGCAAGCAAATAATAGAGAAGAGATCCTTGTAACATGTACCAAGGACAAAATATGATATTGCTTATAGGTTGGCAATGGTTGCCATGGTTTTAATACCACGAAGGGATTTTAAATTTACTCTCTTAGTGTTTTAATCTTATCCTATCTTTTTAAAAAGCATATTTCTATATAACTGATAATCAGTTTTTAAAGGCCTTGGTGTGACCCTAATTTTCACACTTCAAAAAATTCAATTTCAATTCTTTAAATAGTGCGTTGCTATGGAAATAAGGCGAAAAAACATGCATAAAAATCTGAAAAATACTCTGTTTCCTTGGATACGTACCGTTGTATGTAGATTCCCAAAACTTTAATGATTGATATATATGAACAACTAACCTGACTTTCAATTTTGACCATCACCCAATCTCTAACTGGATGCAAAAAGCTGGCACATAGGGTCTAATATTTACAAAAAATTAACAAAATCGAACATTTTCTCTTCTTGGTAACCATAGCAACATTGTTGTATTTTTCAACAACCTTTATCAATATATGATATTCAACTTTAGTTCTACGAGATAAGTACTATTCAAGGTGATTCAAATGATATTTTTCTTGATTAAAAGGTTAGTAAATTCCTAAAGCAGCAAAAAAATATCACTTTAAACAACTAGTACGTTGTTTCCATGGTTACACTGCAAAGTAACAATTAATCTCAATTTTTCGTATGTTGTCAGTGTTGCAAGGTCCTAAGGATGCATATGTGCCAATCATGAATTTTATTGTTTTTCCCTCACGATAGTAGCATTAACCCAAACATAGCAACAGATTTTGCATGGTGACACTGTGTTACCATGGCAACCATGAAAGTTATTTTTAGAATAATATTGCCAATACCTAATTACATGAGGTCAAATATTTTTCATTGTTTTTCTTACGTTGTTGATTGAGTTTGATAATGTAACATCTATCATTTGTGGCTAAAGAGCGTTTTTCAGCATTTTTCAGCATCTAAAATGTATTCCAAATGTACCCATGGTTACCACTTACTTAGAGATAAATTTTAAGTAGTTTCTTTATAGCATAAGTGGCAACAAGGTGTCAAGTCTTTGGGAGAATGGTTTGTTTGTTTTTCTTAGTCTTTATTAAGGCTTAATAAAGATTTAAAGTGGCTGACAATCTCAATTTTTTCAACTTTTCTGGCTGTTACCATGGCAACCAAGACACATAGCAACGAAATTTTATTTGATATATGTTTCTGGTGTCAAGTTGTAATAATGGGCAAAGTTTCATCAAAATCGGTGACCATGCTTGGCAAAGAAGTTTAAGTGGTTACAGAGAATCGCTATTAAAATTTACATACAATCTATCTCAAATGTATTAAAAGAATTGGAAGCAAAGTGTAACAAGCCAAGATGCAGAATTCGTGATCGAAGTTATGGTTACGAGGTACTTGTCACATAATTAATGAAACCAAATTTATTAAAAACAGTTATTTTTTCTCGGACAAGTAGATCTTTGGCAGGGCTAGCTGACAACTTTTACTAGCAGTGAACCCTGCATGTATAGCTAATTTTATGGTGTGTTTCAGTTACTTGACTAAGTTAAAATGGTAGTGTATCAATGATTTTCAATGTGATTATTGCCTTGTGATTTTTTTTCCAGAGAACACATCAGGAGTTTTGCTGGATTAATCAATTTCTACAGGACATTGAAGGAGCATGTGCAAGAAGAGATGTGGCGAAGTAATAGTTACACACCTTCAGAGATTCCAGAAGAAGCCTACTCAGAATTGTGTTCAAAATTCCTTGAAATATTTTTGTTATTATCAAGGTATAATTAGTGAGTGTAACTGAGATAAAATTGTTTTTAGACAACACAATTTTAAAGCTCTCTAATATCTTTTAACATGGAACTAACAAATAAAGTCAAACCACTGTCTCATGTCATTATTTTGAGAAAAACTGTTTTCCTTTAAAATACACTTCCCAGTAAATACATGTATTTTTACTTAGATGTATGAGTATTGGTTAAAAATTGGGGGGGGGGGGGGGGGGGGGGTTACACAGAAGAAATTGTGAGAGCATTATTCATAAATAAAACGATACTTATTTTTTACTCTTTTGAAAGGGAGTGTTTTTATTAAAACATATTTCAGATACAAAGAAGGCTTACAGAACAAATCTCTGCTTTTAATATTTTAGGAGAGGAGGAATTAGGAAATCAGTCATGAAGATCAAAGACATTACAGTAACCAGCACACCAGATCTACATCTGACACTTCCTACATTCTCAACTCCTTCACTTTTTGTTATAAATGTGGCAAAGGTAAGTTTCTTATCAAAAGCATGATTAGTCATATTGATATGGACACATCCTCAGATAGTGTAGATGCAAGTTTGTTCAAATTTTGACCCAGGGATAGGGTGGTACCACAATAGTGATCAAAGTTTACATAGGAATATATAGGATATTTTTTTTAAAAATCATCTGAAGAACAGCAAAGACACAGTTAATCATATTAAAATGAAAGCATCCTCAGGAAGTGTAGATTCAAGTTTGTTAAAATTATCCCCCACTCCCTTTTCTGGGTAGGTTGGATCCATAATACGAAATCAAAGTTTACATAGGAATATACAGGAAAAAATCTGCTGAAGAAGAATAGCAAGGTAAGCAATGTGGTCCATGGGCCTCTTGTTGGATTTAACATCTAAATGGTTGTAGGTGTATCTGATACATGTATATAGATGGTATTGGTACCAGACAGAAGACTCACTTCTTATTCTTTATGAAAAAGTCTTTTTTTGCTATCAGCTGAAATTGACTTGCCAAGTGTCTATTCACAATTACAAAGTTAAGGAATGAGAGTTGGAGAAGATCAGTAACTAATGAACCTTTTTCTCACCTTACTAAAATTCCTCAAATCTATTTGTGCATCATGACTGAGTGAAACACTTAAAAAATTTTATAACATAAAACAACATGATGACATAATATGTGTTCTAAATCTCTAACAAGTTAGAGAACAAAAAATGAATCACTGCAGGGGAGCGATGAAACATATAACGGTAATGGGAGCAAGCAAGCAAGTAAAATGCATTTGTCTAGTCACACATATTTTTACAGTCACAAGAAACATTAATCATTTCATTTTCTAACTTTTGTTTCAGGTGAGGACATGTCCCCTGTCTGATTGCGCACTGTTTGATATTCACCAAGCCATAGACAATAACATTCTTGGTCAGCATGCTGGAGAACTGCTGCTGGACTTTCAGCACTCTTGTTTCAGAGATTTACAGGCTGTTTTTGGAATCATTTGCATCAAAACTTCAGTATGTTATTCTACGCATTTTTGGAGACTTGTACACATATGAAAATGATATCATATCCTGACTATAACTTTCTGATAAGTATACAGTCAAACTTCATTTTAACTCATTTGGACTGAGAAAATACTTCAAGATATCCAAGAATTCAAGATCAATGTTTGAGATACTGAGGTTCAACTGTATTATAATTAATATCCTTTACTTGACAGAAAGCTTGCATTTGACCAAAATATATGAATTATCACAATTTTTTTTTAAATGTTGATTAGATTTTGTTGACAAGGACAGATGAAAAGACAAACAGAAAGAGATCATTAACAATAGAAATTTTAGCGCAGATTCAATTTTGGCATTTTTAGGGAGTGTGTTGAGATCTCTAAATTTAAATATTGCTAAAAAATATACCATTTTATAGGCTACCGTTATCTTTCTATGCAGCATGAATTCGCTAAAATTACTTCTTGTGAAAATTAAATGCTGATTTTTGAGGACAAATCACTAAATTTGCTTCTCGCTAAAAATTCAACTTACACAGTATAAACTTGTTATGTTTCTCAATCTAAACCACTAGTAAAACAAAATGACAAAAACATGATTCCATTTACTTTATGATATTTTGAAGGTCATTTTCACATGTCTGAAGATCTCTACAAAGCATTACCAATGCATAAAGGACTATGGAGAAGATGTGGTGATGAAGGGAATTGATGCTGATAGCAGCTCTGATATACAGGAAGATTCTAGTTTGGAGGAAGGGAATGAAAGTGATGTAGAGTTCTGTCATACCAAAGGCATGAAATTGTCAGGGTCGGAAAAAACAAATATCAAGAAACATTCAAATAAGAGTGGAAGAATTTTTTATACAAGACCATTTAATTATCTTGTTTCTGCAGACAGAAGAGAGATTGTGGAATTTTTATTCTGGATTGGAGTTAACTATGAGAGAGTTGCTGTGTCTAAACCTTGAATTCATTTTGTGTCACTGTAATGAGTGCTAGAGACTGTGTCCAAGTAAAATTTCCAGATATCTGATACTGTTAATTTTGCTTCATTTCCATTGAAGTACTTTTGTTGAATAAACATCTCAACACAAAGTTATGTTGCTCACATATATTTTGAAACTGCAGAAATTGTCTTTGAAACATGTTGAAGATGTGAATTTTCACTTTTAAATCAAATGATATATCACTTTCATCGATACTGTGTATGGTCAGAAGAGTTCAAAGCAGGTGGCAAGATAGCTCAGTTGGTAGAGCAGCTGAATAGTGATTCAGGGAGCCCAGATACAAATCCTAGTCTGGTCTGTAGCATTTTCTCTTTTCTAGTTACATTTGGTGTCGAGAGCCTGGTTTGGTATCTTCAGAGGCAAAGACCTGGAAGGAGGGAAGAATGTGGTGGTCGGGCAGGTTTGACTGCCAATGGCCAGATAGTTCAGTTGGTAGAGCACCCAACTCAGAGGACCCTGGTTCAAATCCTGGCCTTCTCCATAACATTTTTTGCATATTTATATATATATATATATATATATATATATATATATTGACTGAGCATGAAGTGTGAGGCCAATATGCTTCTCTGTTAAGTCGGATTGTTAAGTGGATTGACTGAATGAAAGGGTTACATTTGTTATATTTTTTTTTTTACAATGCTACATTCGTTACATTATTTTTTTTTAAAGGAAGATTGTCAAAATGTAAAGAATAAAGTCTATTATTAGAAAGTTACGGTTAGTCCTACTATAAGCTGATTAACCACATTATTTGGAAAAGAATTTTGATTGGTTTGAATGACAATTGCTAGGAACCAATTATAAATTTCATTATGTATGAAAATAATATATTTAAGGAATCACTGTCTAGTTAGTAGAATATGCCAGGGCATCAACGATAGTTGGAAACGTGGGATAATTTGCAAAATTATCCCACGTTTCCAACTGTCGTTGATGTCCCTGGCATACTCTACTTACTAGACAGTGATTCCTTATATTTCCATTTCATTTTGAAATAAAATTGTAAATTTAGATTTTAAAATGTAGACTAATAGATTTAAATTACACGAGGCCTCACATGTCAATTTCAATAGTCCCCACCCACTGACGTCAAACACAAAGACAGCCGCACGAGAATTACATGCATATTAGGCCTCCTTAGAGTCAGATACAAAGACAGCCGCATGAGAATTACATGCATATTATGCCTTCTTAGCTACTGACCTTTCGCTTGGCAAAACTTGCATTCCGTTGGAATGATCAAGAAATCAACTCTCCTAACTTTCAAAGAGTTATCACAGAGAAAACAAATAGAAATGGATATATATATATATATATATATATATATATATATATATATATATATATATATATATATATATATATATATATATATATATAACAGGGTTTTCTTAGTGAAGACAAACTCCTGCGGCTAAGGTTCTCATATATTGTTTATTGTGAATGTTGAATGTATTATAAACCAACAAACAAAGGCCTTGAAAATATCAATAACAAATTATAAGATTTAGAAAACAAACAAACATATTACATTTATAATGATATTCATGAATTTAGGCATGAATTACTTTATAATGATAGATCATAAAAGTATTACACATTATACTGAGCATTGAAATAAAAAGATGGAGAAATAAGAGTTATTTCCCTTACATCAACGTATTGAAAACGAGAATATAAATCGAACTACCGGTATTCCAAACAGAACTATTACAATAAAATGAATAGTTCACAAATCTATTTACAATAATATATACACAATAGATAGAAAATAATAGCAGGTATACCTGATTGTGGATCAAGGCTCAAACAATGGGCCACCCGATAAAAATAACGGGTCTTGATATATAGACTCCTATTAAACAATAATTATATTCTATATACACTTCTGCATAATTGATATTTTATTTACATACTCAAAGAATTTATACTTTAAGCTTCAGTTAATAATGATAAAGCTGAACTCAGTATATCTTCATAAAATTACATTAAAAATCAAAGACGATGAATTATCGGAAAGTATAGAATAAGAATTAGTATAGATAAAAGAAATAGAAGTCAACTTACAGTCACTGTCCTGAGGTCTCGTCTCAAAATTAAGTATAACTAGTTATAATTGTAACGGACACCGTTACAGATGTTCCCCAAACGCTCCCCAACTCCCTTTTGGTGTCTTATTTCCTGTAAGCTTCATTAAATAAGGCAATGAAGTATATCGGTCGTTTTTTCCATTTCACGCGCGCGCACATGCATGCATGTGCAGTATGACCATGTCATCCCGTCTATACTATTAATGTATCTTTATATTCTCAGTATCAAAACATTTCAGCAAAAATATATAAGTTCCGGCTATATCAAGTATACTGGTCATCTTAGCATTGCGCGCACGCGCACCTGCATGCATGTTCATAATGACCATGCCATCTTGTCTACACTTATAATATGTCTGTTTATTCTTAGTATCAAAGCTTTTCATCAAAAAATATAAAAGTTACGGCTATATTAAGTATATTAATCATTTAACACATTGCACGCGCGCGCATGTGCATGCATGTGCATGATGTCAACATCATCTTGTCTACACTTGTAATATATCTGTATATTCTTAATATCAAAGCTTTTCATAAAAAATAAAAAAATTACGACTATATTAAATATATTGGTCATTTAACACATTGCATGCGCGCGCACGTGCATGCATATGCATGCATGTGCATGATGACCATGTAATCTTGTCTACACTTTTAATATATATAAATATTTTGAGAATCAAATCATTTCATCAAAAAATATAAAAGTTACGTCTATATCAAGTAAATTGGTCATTTTACGATTTGCGCGTGCGCGCACGTGCATGCATGTGCATTTTGACCATGTCATCTTGTCTACACTTTTAATATATCCTTGTATTCTGAGTATCAAAGCATTTCATCAAAAAATATAAAAGTTACAGCTATATCATGTATATTGGTCATTTTACGCATTGCACGCGCACGCACGTGCGTGCACGTGCGTGCAAAATGACCTTCGTTCCGCAAATCACATAACATACCTAGTAACCCTAAAAAGGTTTTAACTCAATTGGATGTGCAGTTTCCGAGAACACTCGCGGACAAAAAAGTACCGGAGAAGAAATAAGAATAAAAAAGAATAATAATAATAACTAGTTATAATTGTAACGGGGACCGTTACAGATGTTCCCCAAACGCTCCCCAACTCCCTTTTGGTGACTTTTTTCCTGTAAGCTTCATTAAATAAGGCAATGAAGTATATTGGTCATTTTTTGCATTTCACGCGCGCGCACGTGCATAAATGTGCAGGATGACCATGTCATCCCGTCTATACTATATATGCATCTTTATATTCTCAGTATCAAAACATTTCAGCAAAAAATATATAAGTTCCGGCTAAATCAAGCATATTGGTCATCTTAGCATTGCGCGCACGCGCACATGCATGCATGTTCATAATGACCATGCCATTTTGTGTACACTTATAATATGTCTGTTAATTCATAGTATCAAAGCTTTTCATCAAAAAATATAAAAGTTACGGCTATATTAAGTATATTGGTCATTTAACACATTGCACGCGCGCGCATGTGCATGCATGTGCATGATGGCCAAATCATCTTGTCTACACTTTTAATATATCTATATATTCTTAATATCAAAGCTTTTCATCAAAAAATATAAAAATTACGGCTATATTAATTATATTAGTCATTTAACACATTGCACGCGCGCGCACGTGCATGCATGTGCATGTTGACCATGTCATCTTGTCTACTCTTTCTATATATATAAATATTTTGAGTATCAAAGCATTTCATCAAAAAGTATAAAAGTTACGATATTATCAAGTAAATTGGTCATTTTACGCTTTTGCGCGTGCACGCACGCGCATGCATGTGCATGTTGACCATGTCATCTTGTTCACATTTTTAATATATCCTTATATTCTGAGTATCAAAGCATTTCACCAAAAAATATAAAAATTACAGCTATATCAAGTATATTGGTCATTTTACCCATTGCACGCGCACGCACGTGCATGCACGTGCGCGCAAAATGACCTTTGTTCAACAAATCTACATAACATGCCTATTAACCCTAAAAAGGTTTTAACTCAATTGGATGAGCAGTTTCCGAGAACACTCGCGGACAAAAAAGTACCGGAGAAGAAATAAGAAGAAAAAAGAATAATAATAATAACTAGATGAGATCTCGTTGCGAGCAACGAGTAGGTCTTCCGTCCGATTTTTCGATAAGATGAGATATGATTTTGACTATGATCTTTGTTAAAAGATAATAATATATAGACTTCCCTAATTAGATTTCATTTTTTTGATTTATATAACATTATCAAAGAACTATATATGACAGGCTTTTGGCCCCTCTGAGCCCCTAATTTGAAGAGTCAGCCCCTTTTCCTTGATATCAAATGAAAGGTCTTGTGATTTTGAAGACTTTTTGTTCAACAACTATTCAGAGATTTCTTTTCGGTATGGAGATATGCTGAATTGAAATATTTATTGGCCAGCCCTCCAAGTCCTTAATGGGGCTGTTTGACAAAAATTGAAAGGGTGCATATTATTTAGAACATTATTTTGACCATCTTTTGTTCAGTATTGCTTATCAAAATAATCCCCCTTTTCGAGATATAATGCGTCAAATATTTTGCATTCTGGCCCCTTGTGACCCCTTATTACGTAACATATGATCAGAATCTTATCATATATTGTTGTAAATCGTTAAGATAAGCATCTTTGCTTCAGTAATGTATTACAAAATATTGATCGTTAAAGAGTTATACATAAAAGACTTTTGGCCCCTCTGAGCCCCTAATTTAGGGGATCAGCCCTTTTTTCTTGATATCAAATGAGAGGTCTTGTAATTTTAAAGACTTTTTGATCAACAACTATTCAGAGATTTCTTTTCGTTGTGGAGATATACTGAATGGAAATATTTAGGGGCCACCCCTCTAAGTCCTTAATGGGGCTGTTTGACAAAAATTGAAAG